TGGCGGTGGGGTTATGGTATAAGCAGGCATAATCTACAGACAACGCACACAATTGCATTATATCAATGGCAATTTTAGATAGTGACGAGATCCTGAGGCCCATTGTCGTGCCTTTCATCCGCTGCCATCACCTCATGTTTCAGCATGATAATACACGGCCCCATGTCGCAAGGATCTGTACACAGTTCCTGGAAGCTGAAAATGTCCCAGTTCTTCCATGGCCTGCATACTCACCAGACATGTCACCCATTGAGCATGTATGGGATGCTCAGGATCGACGTGTACAACAGCGTGTTCCAGTTCCCGCTAATATCGAGGAACTTTGCACAGCCATTGAAGAGGAGTGGGACAACATTCCACAGGCCACAATCCACAGCCTGATCAACTGCGAAAGAGATGTGTCGCACTGCATGAGGCAAATGCACTGACTAGTTTTTTTTGAAGGTATCTGTGACCAACCAATGCATATCTGTATTCCCAGTCGTGAAATCCATAGATTAGGGCCTAATTGATTTATTTCAATTGACTGATTTCCTTATATGAACTGTAACTCAGTAAAATCTTTGAGATTTTTGCATGTTGCATTTATATTTTTGTTCAGTGTACATTGAGACAAATTACAGACAGTAGCCTACAAGTAGCAAAATATAACTAATTTAATTGAAATAGGCCTATAGCCTACTGTTTATATTTTAATGCAGTCATCTCGGATTGTTTGTATCAATTGCAAAGACATTGGCAACTTTGTATTTGTAGTCAACTTTGTTCTGAAGTTATCGGCTTCCCCAAACCATACACACACACCCCATCCCCACACACACACCCTACTAAGACACAGGATATAGTGCTGACACAACATTGGCAGTACAGTACAGTGTTTCTCAACCATTTCTGTACCAGTACCGGCGAGACATGGACCTCCTCATTTTTTTTAACCAGCTCATGCTTAAAACAAATAGAATATGTAAAAATACCACTGGAGATACTATAACTGTGCCTCTGCTCTAGCCAATCTGTTTGCTTCCCTGTTATGCTGTCTGTCTCTGCATCTTCTCTGCTGTCACTCTGTGCTTCTTGTTCTGTCTGTCTGCTTACGCCTTATACGTTACAAAAGCCAAGCTAACAACTTAGCCTATATTGCTAATTATTGCCTGTCATATGTGTGCCTCTGAATCAACAACTACCCCAAGTGTTAATTGCTATTACAGGGCTGCAGACTAACATTTTCCCCTGGTGTAACTGATGCCAATAACTTTTACAGTTGGTGGCACCAGCCCTAATCATCTTATAAAGTCATTCATAGTACTTTATTATGACGTGTAATAAATAGAGGAATTCAAGAAATACATTGTTTCATCTAACACGTCCAAGCAGGAATGCATGACTCAAGATATTTTGGATGTGCAACCTAATCCAGTGATTGTCATGAATAATGGGTTGACAATTAGACTATAGTTGCTATATGTTACTGTCAAAATAGGACCCCAGAATTTCCTGATTGTTTTGTTCGATAGAGATTAATTACATAAATTTTTATGCACTAACTAATATCATGGGCTAATTAAGTTGGGGTTCAACACGTGAGGAAGTGGAAACTCAAAACACATTAACTAGATCGCTAACTCTAAATAGTAGCCATGTATTCATCCAACAGTAGGTTAAGCGTACCTATTAAGCCCATTTCCATCTTTGGCTTCAAATAAAATAGAAATAAAAATGTTCAGCTATTTTAATGTTTCAACCAATTTATCTGGTTGTTATATCCATAACAGTTTTTATTCTAAGCCAATCAGATGGTTTATTATTAAGTTATTGACAGTTATGTGGAAGTTCCCAATTTCAAAGTTGCAAAAAAAAGTTGGTGTTGAGGCGACCCTCAGATAAACACATTTTCCAGCAATTTTTAGTACCTTCTCAGATAAGTGATCATACTTTATGTAAAATTAAGTGATTCATTTGCTGATACAGTGCATTCAGAAAGTATTCAGACCCATTGACTTTTTCCACATTTTGTAAAGTTACATCCTTATTCTAAATTCATCAATCTACACACAATACCCCATAATGACAAAGCAAAAGCAGGGTTTTAAACATTTCTGCAAATTTATAAAAAAATAAAAATGGAAATATGACATTTACATAAGTATTCAGACCCTTTACTCAGTACTTTGTTGAAGCACCTTTGGCAGCGATTACAGCCTCGAGTATTCTTGGTTATGACGCTACAAGCATGGCACACCTGTATTTGGGGAGTTTCTCCCATTCTTCTCTGCAGATCCTCTCAAGCTCTGTCAGGTTGGATGGGGAGCGTTGCTGCACAGCTATTTTCAGGTCTCTCCAGAGATGTTAGATCAGGTTCTAGTCCGGGCTCTGGCTGGGCCACTCAAGGACATTCAGAGACTTGTCCCAAAGCCACTCCTGTGTTGTCTTGGTTGTGTGCTTAGGGTCGTTGTCCTGTTGGAAGGTGAACCTTCGCCCCATTTTGAGGTCCTGAGCGCTCTGGAGCAGGTTTTCAACAAGGATTTCGCTGTACTTTGCTCCGTTCATCTTTCCCTCGATCCTGACTAGTCTCCCAGTCCCTGCCGCTGAATAACATCCCCACAGCATGATGCTGCCACCACCATGCTTCACCGTAGGGATGGTGCCAGGTTTCCTCCAGACGTGACGCTTGGCATTCAGGCCAAAGAGTTCAATCTTGGTTTCATCAGATCAGATAATTTTGTTTCTCATGGTCTGAGAGTTTTAGGTGCCTTTTGACAAACTCCAAGCGGGATGTCATGTGCCTTTTACTGAGGAGTGGCTTCCGTCTGGCCACTCTACCATAAAGGCTTGATTGGTGGAGTGCTGCAGAGATGCTTGTCCTTCTGGAAGGTTCTCCCATCTCCACAGAGGAACTCTGGAGCTCTGTCAGAGTGACCATCGGGTTCTTGGTCACCTCCCTGACCAAGGCCCTTCTCCCCCGATTGCTCAGTTTGGCCGGGCGGCCAGCTCTAGGAAGAGTCTTGGTGGTTCCAAATTTCTTCCATTAAAGAATGATGGAGGCCACTGTGTTCTTGGGGACCTTCAATGCTGCAGAAATGTTTTGGTACCCTTCCCCAGATCTGTGCCTCGACACAATCCTGTCTTGGAGCTCTACTGACAATTCCTTCGACCTCGTGGCTTGGTTTTTGCTCTGACATGCACTGTCAACTGTGGCACCTTATATAGACAGGTGTGTGCCTTCCCAAAACAAGAGCAGCAGTACAGTAAATGTGAAACAGCTTTCAGATAATTCATTGAAAGTTGCGTGTGTTATGGTCTTTGTGCATGGCTTCTTGTCCACAGAGGGCCAGTGTGGGTGCAGGTTTTGTTTTAACCAAGCAATAACACACCTGATTCAAACTAATCAAGTTTTAATTGGAGTCAATGATTAGTTGAATTGGATATGGACTGATTGACACTTTGAAGCCTATTTAAATATAAATAGAGTATAGGCTACATAGACCTATATATTTCAATGATATTGGAATACATTTTATGTTCATTAAATTAAATTTAGCTTTTTGTATGCTACTGTCTGTCATTTATGTCTCAATATATTTCATGATGTGTATGCCTAACATTGCGCAATGATGTGCCAAATCTTGCCTAAGCATTAGAATAAGCCGCCTCAATATTTGTAGCCATAAGTGATAATATCTCACTAGTAGGAGCTGATCTGTCGTCAGTATTGTGGAATAAATCTAATGTTAAGGTAATATTTGAATGGGAAGATGCTGATCTGAGAGCAGCACTGCCTTTTATTTTGATCCTATCAGTATCGACACATGCCTCAATGACGCACTTAGCGAACGCTTTTTCTGCGTGGTGTTTTGGGAAATGCATGCTACATCTTCGGACGTTTTGTGTGAAAGATGCATTGGTAAAAAACTCGTAAGCCTAAGTTCCATCGCTTTCGGGTAACCGGGCCCTGAACTGCCCCTGAGTTATACTTGTTTGGTGACCTAGGTCTTGTTCATTAGGGCATGCCGTAACGTTTTGCAACGGAAACGAAAACAAGTGTTTCGTTTTAGACGAGTCCAGGGGTGGGTGTATTTATTAGTCGGATTCTGTGGCAAAACATTTTGCAACGGAAACCGTTTACTCCAAACCACAGGAGGTTGGTGGTACCTTAATTTGGGTGGACGGGTTCGAGGTAATGGCTGGAGCGGAATAAGTGTAATGGTATCAAATACGTTAAACACATGGTTCCATGTGTTTGATACCATTCCATTAGCTCCTTTCCAGACATTATTATGAGCCTTCCTCCCCTCAGCAGCCCCCACTGCTCCGAATGCTGTTGAGTTCCGTTTTGTTCTTAAACGGAAGTTGTAGTTCAGTCGTGTCTCTCTTTTAAAAAAAAAAAGCGTCAGCAAGTAGTCGGAAGGAACCATGTGGACTTCACTCCACTTTAGAGCATGGAAGAATCGATCATTTATAGATGTGCAGCTCATGTCAAATACTTAGCAAACTATTCGGATTGGAATGGCAATGCGTGGAAACCATAAAATTAAAATACACTACAACTTCCATTTATGAACCCAGCAGCTTTTACATCATGTTGAAGAGCGTCTGGAGTAAACGGTTTATGTTACAAAACGTTTTGCAACAGGCAAAACATTTTGCAACATTATTCGACTAATGAATACACCCCTGGTAGTCCCTCCCTGTTTGTCAGTTTTCTTCTCTTTGGTGCCTAATGAACATGACCCGGTTGATGTGTCCCGTGTAGCTCAGTTGGTAGAGCATGGCGTTTGCAACGCCAGGGTTGTGGTTTCGATTCCCACGGGGGGCCAGTATGAAATGTATGCACTCACTAACTGTCAGTCGCTCTGGATAAGAGTGTCTGCTAAATGACTAAAATGTAAAATGTAATGTATATCCATCCACAGTCACACAGTTAAATGATGATGATTATTATGAACTAGACTCTAACAGCTCACTGTCTGCCCCACTCTGCAGGTCAGTGAGTATCAGTAGAAATGGAGGACGGGACTTTACTGCAGAACATGCGCCAAGCGCCCAAACCAAGTACACCTGTGCTTGGTATGCTATCCTACATACAGTTTTCAAGCTGTGTTTTTAAACTGTGTTTTTGTGTTGAGTTATGGGTGTATGTTTGTGGGTGTTTGCAGTTTTTTTTTCATAGTTCCTCTGTGCCTTTATGTAACAACTTGTGACCGCATGTTTTATCTGATGCAACTTTAGCCTTATTTTCTCTACCCAGTGTTCTGAGGTAGATTGACTTACACCACTGAAAGGAATAATCCACTCAAAAAAAATATTTTGGTATTCTTTTCATTAGTCCATACAGTCCCAAAATGTTTTGCATGTCAGGAATCAAGTTTTCAAGATATAGGACTTTCAAAAGGCTAATTTTAACTTGCCACATCATCATGAATGCAGAAACATTTGAAAGAGAACTGTTGTGATTGTCTGCCTTGTTCCTCTGTGCCTTCAGTCATATCCAAACTCATCATGACTGCCTTGCCAGTCGCCCAGATCGTAATAGGTATGTATCATATACTATTAATTATAAGTGGTTTTAATGATCACACACACACACAATAACCGATCAACAACTACTACTATGTCCTGTGTAGCTCAGTTGGTAGAGCATGGCGTTTGCAACGCCAGGGTTGTGGGTTCGATTCCCACGGGGGGCCAGTATGAAAAATGTATGCACTCACTAACTGTAAGTCACTCTGGATAAGAGCGTCTGCTAAATGACTAAAATGTAAAATGTACTACACTCCTGCAGATCTAATGTGAATTACCTTTGTTTAGCCTACTTTCCTACACCCATACACCTTCTTCTCCTTACTAGGTGGTATGTTCCTGGAGAACTGCCCCCAGCAGCGCTATATCCCCATCTACCTGGTGGTGACGGGGGTGTTTGCCCTGGCCCTGGCTGTCCTGTCCTGCCTACCCTGCACCAGGGAGCAGGCTGAGGGGGAGCAGCAGAGCCCTCTCAGCAGCCTTTGTACCGCCTGGAACTCTCTGGTGTCACTATTCCTCTTCTGCTGGTTCATAGCGGGTGAGAAAAGATAATGAGAGTGGTTGTTAATGGTGTGAGATGTAAAAAGGGAAGTTGTAGGTACTTAGAGGCCTATTGCAGTGATTTGGCCTCGTTTTAGATTTGGTTCATTAAGAAATGCTAGCGGCCATGACTGAATAAAAAAGTACCTATTATATTGACAAGAGAGCTGAGTGACCGCTCTAACAATTAAAATACATGTCCTCAATGATTGAAGGCAGGCAAGATCAGGTGGGACCATTCTAGCCAATGAGGGGGCAGATAGTTGCCGGAACACCACGTGCATCCACTTATATTAGTACATTTGTAACAGCCTAAACATTATGAAACTTCTATTCGATTAAATAAGCCTCACGTAAATGGACACTTATATCACATGGACAGATTTTAGGCGGAGTAAATGCTCTCGCTTTGCCTCTTCCTCTCTGACTGAATTCAAACGTGAGTTGGTTTCTGGGTGTGGTTTGATGTGGGTGTCTCGTGTATGTTCGCAGGTGGGAATCGTTGGACAAATTATTTTGCCAATTAGCTTTAGCCGGCTGGTGTGCGACCACGGCAAAGTTGGTTTGACTTTGGATAGCCTATCTCTGGGGATAGTTGGGGACCATCAATAAATTACACAATGTAAATGGGACAATATTTTCATGTTGCACATCTCATTAAATGCTTTCAAGATTTGTATATGAAATTCTATGTACATTTAAATGATACAATGTAAATGGGACAATATTTTCATGTTGCACATCTCATTAATATTGGTTGGTTTGAGGTTTTAAGTCATTGAAATTTGGAGCTATTGACCTTATCCCATGTACATTGTGTAATTTACTGATGGTCCCTAACTAGCCCCATAAAGCATGAAACACACCGAGAATCTCACTGCCGACATGTACAGTGCCTTGCAAAAGTATTCATCCCCCTTGGCGTTTTTCCTACTTTGTTGCATTACAACCTGTAATTTAAATGGATTTTTATTTGGATTACATGTAATGGACATACACAAAATAGTCCAAATTGGTGAAGTGAAATGAAAAAAATACCTTGTTTCAAAAAATTCTAAAAAATAAATAATGGAAATGTGGTGCGTGCATATGTATTCACCCCCTTTGCTATGAAGCCCCTAAATAAGATCTGGTGCAACCAATTACCTTCAGAAGTCACATAATTAGTTAAATAAAGTCAACCTGTGTGCAATCTTAAGTGTCACATGATCTGTCACATGATTTCAGTATAAATACACATGTTCTGAAAGGCCCCAGAGTCTGCAACACCACTAAGCAAGGGGCACCACCAAGCAAGCGGCACCATGAAGACCAAGGAGCTCTCCAAACAGGTCAGGGACAAAGTTGTGGAGAAGTACAGATCAGGGTTGGGCTATAAAAAAAATATCAGAAACGTTGAACATCCCACGGAGCACCATTAAATCCATTATAAAAAATTTTAAAAAATATGGCACCACAACAAACCTGCCAAGAGAGGGCCGCCCACCAAAACTCATGGACCAGGCAAGGAGGGCATTAATCAGAGGCAACAAAGAGACCAAAGATAACCCTAAAGGAGCTGCAAAGCTCCACAGCGGAGATTGGAGTATCTGTCCATAGGACCACTTTAAGCCGTACACTGCACTGCATATTACGCACGGCAGAAAAACATTAAAAAACATTATTTAAGATGTCTTTGGTACATAATTGGTCTAGCCTATACTCCAAAGTTAAACAAATTCTAGTAATCGCCTTTGAGTGTGCATTGTATTATTATGCATACTGGATGGACTGGTGACCTTATGCTACGCTCCAAACTATCTATCCATTATTCTGGGAGAGATGTTTTGATATTTTCATAATTAATAGGCTGACACATTAACGTTAGCTACAGAATATCTCACCATTTCTCCTTCATTCCTTTCTCAAGCGCACAAAGAGAGGGGCTGTCAACAGTTTAATTAAATATGTTTAGTTGTGAAAACATGTTACTATCGATGTTCCCGAACAGATTTCACTTCGTTTCCCAATTAAGTACTGGGTTGATGCAGGAACTGGGTCAGAGAGCCCATGGCATACAGAGTTTGGGTGGAATATCACCTGTCGCATAGAGAGAGGCTGCATGCTCCTCAGACAGTGGTTGGTGTGTGGACTGAAATAACCTGAGTAGCCTGACCCGCATGAGTGAAAAACAAACTGGCGGGAAAGTGGCCTTCACTATTCGAGTGCATACAGATGACATGTCTTTTTTTCACCTGCCCCTGTTCCTGCCCATTTGATAATGGGCCATTCTAAATCGAAACTAATTTGACATTATAGACAATATTAAATTGAGAATAGTCTAATGGGTGGAAATATGATCACTTGACGACAGAACAGCGTGTGCAGACTGAGCAAGGAACAGAGTGCAAGTTTTTTTGTAGACTTTCTCAAATCATCAATAGCCTATAGTCGCATCATGCAGCACATACAGTTGAAGTCAGAAGTTTATATACACTTAGGTTGGAGTCATTAAAAGTTGTTATACAACCACTCTACACATTTCTTGTTAACAAACTATAGTTTTGGCAAGTCGGTTAGGACATCTACTTTGTGCATGACACGAGTCATTTTTCCAACAATTGTTTACAGATAGATTATTTCAATTATAATTCACTGTATCACAATTCCAGTGGGTCAGAAGTTTACATACACTAAGTTGACTGTGCCTTTAAACAGCTTGGAAAATTCCAGAAAATGATGTCATGGCTTTAGAAGCTTCTGATAGGCTAATTGACATCATTTGAGTCAATTGGAGGTGTGCCTGTGGATGTATTTCAAGGCCTACCTTCAAACTCAGTGCCTCTTTGCTTGACATCATGGGAAAATCTAAAGAAATCAGCCAAGACATCAGAAAAAAAATTGTAGACCTCCACAAGTCTGGTTCATCCTTGGGAGCAATTTCAAAACGCCTGAAGGTACCATGTTCATCTGTACAAACAATAGTACGCAAGTATAAACACCATGGGACCACACAGCCGTCATACCGCTCAGGAAGGAGATGCGTTCTGTCTCCTAGAGATGAACATACTTTGGTGCGAAAAGTGCAAATCAATCCCAGAACAACAGCAAAGGACCTTGTGAAGATGCTGGAGGAAACGGGTACAAAAGTATCTATATCCACAGTAAAACGAGTCCTATGTCGACATAACCTGAAAGGTCGCTCAGCAAGGAAGAAGCCACTGCTCCAAAACCGCCATAAAAAAGCCAGACTATGGTTTGCAACTGCACATGGGGACAAAGATCATACTTTTTGGAGAAATGTCCTCTGGTCTGATGAAACAAAAATAGAACTGTTTGGCCATAATGACCATCGTTATGTTTGGAGGAAAAAGGCGGTTGCATGCAAGCCGAAGAACACCATCCCAACCATGAAGCACAGGGGTGGCAGCATCATGCTGTGGGGGGGCTTTGCTGCAGGAGGAACTGGTGAACTTCACAAAATAGATGGCATCATGAGGAAGGAAAATTATGTGGATATATTGAAGCAACATCTCAAGACATCAGTCAGGAAGTTAAAGCTTGGTCGCAAATGGGTTTTCCAAATGGGCAATGACCCCAAGCATACTTCAAAAGTTGTGGCAAAATGGCTTAAGGACAACAAAGTCAAGGTATTGGAATGGTCATCACAAAGCCCTGACCTCAATCCTATAGAAAATGTGTGGGCAGAACTGAAAAAGTGTGTGCGAGCAAGGAGGCCTACAAACCTGACTCAGTTACACCAGCTCTGTCAGGAGTAATGGGCCAAAATTCACCCAACTTATTGTGGGAAGCTTGTGGAAGGCTACCCGTAACGTTTGACCCAAGTTAAACAATTTAAAGGCAATGCTACCAAATACTAATTGAGTGTATGTAAACTTCTGACCCACTGGGAATGTGATGAAAGAAATAAAAGCTGAAATATATAATTCTCTCTACTATTATTCTGACATTTCACATTCTTAAAATAAAGTGGTGATCCTAACTGACCTAAGACAGGGAATGTTTACTAGGATTAAAAGTCAGGAATTGTGAAAAACTTGAGTTTAAATGTATTTGGCTAAGGTGTATGTAAACTTCTGACTTCAACTGTACGTATAGGACCTGTTTCAATTTATCACTTTTACGCTCAACATAGCAACTTCATATGCACACTCGCTCCGGAATGGGAAGAATATCCTTTCTATTTTATTCAGCTATGTTCAATGATATTCTTCTTACTATAAAATCATATAATATAAAATAATGGCAAGGGAATCATAAGCATATCTTGTCTGCTAAATGAATAAGCCTACAGCCTATGGCAGGGATCATCAACTACATTCAGCCACGGGCCAACATTTTTCTTGAGCGGATGGTTGGGGGTCGGAACATAATTAAGCAATAAGGCCAGAGTGGTTGTGGTACAGTGGGGAAAAAAGTATTTAGTCAGCCACCAATTGTGCAAGTTCTCCCACTTAAAAAGATGGGAGAGGCCTGTAATTTTCATCATAGGTACACGTCAACTATGACAGACAAAATGAGATTTTTTTTCTCCAGAAAATCACATTGTAGGATTTTGAATGAATTTATTTGCAAATTATGGTGGAAAATAAGTATTTGGTCACCTACAAACAAGCAAGATTTCTGGCTCTCACAGACCTGTAACTTCTTCTTTAAGAGGATCCTCTGTCCTCCACTCGTTACCTGTATTAATGGCACCTGTTTGAACTTGTTATCAGTATAAAAGACACCTGTCCACAACCTCAAACAGTCACACTCCAAACGCCACTATGGCCAAGACCAAAGAGCTGTCAAAGGACACCAGAAACAACATTGTAGACCTGCACCAGGCTGGGAAGACTGAATCTGCAATAGGTAAGCAGCTTGGTTTGAAGAAATCAACTGTGGGAGCAATTATTAGGAAATGGAAGACATACAAGACCACTGATAATCTCCCTCGATCTGGGGCTCCACGCAAGATCTCACCCTAGTGAATGACCTGCAGAGAGCTGGGACCAAAGTAACAAAGCCTACCATCAGTAACACACTACGCCGCCAGGGACTCAAATCCTGCAGTGCCAGACGTGTCCCCCTGCTTAAGCCAGTACATGTCCAGGCCCGTCTGAAGTTTGCTAGAGTGCATTTGGATGATCCAGAAGAGGATTGGGAGAATGTCATATGGTCAGATGAAACCAAAATAGAACTTTTTGGTAAAAACTCAACTCGTCGTGTTTGGAGGACAAAGAATGCTGAGTTGCATCCAAAGAACACCATACCTACTGTGAAGCATGGGGGTGGAAACATCATGGTTTGGGGCTGTTTTTCTGCAAAGGGACCAGGACGACTGATCCGTGTAAAGGAAAGAATGAATGGGGCCATGTATCGTGAGATATTGAGTGAAAACCTCCTTCCATCAGCAAGGGCATTGAAGATGAAACGTGGCTGGGTCTTTCAGCATGACAATGATCCCAAACACACCGCCCGGGCAACGAAGGAGTGGCTTCGTAAGAAGCATTTCAAGGTCCTGGAGTGGCCTAGCCAGTCTCCAGATCTCAACCCCATAGAAAATCTTTAGAGGGAGTTGAAAGTCCGTGTTGCCCAGCGACAGCCCCAAAACATCACTGCTCGAGAGGAGATCTGCATGGAGGAATGGGCCAAAATACCAGCAACAGTGTGTGAAAACCTTGTGAAGACTTACAGAAAACGTTTGACCTGTGTCATTGCCAACAAAGGGTATACAGTGAGGGAAAAAAGTATTTGATCCCCTGCTGATTTTGTACGTTTGCCCAGTGACAAAGACATGATCAGTCTATAATTTTAATGGTAGGTTTATTTGAACAGTGAGAGACAGAATAACAACAAAAAAATCCAGAAAAACGCATGTCATAAATTTTATAAATTGATTTGCATTTTAATGAGGGAAATAAATATTTGACCCCTCTGCAAAACATGACTTAGTACTTGGTGGCAAAACCCTTGTTGGCAATCACAGAGGTCAGCCGTTTCTTGTAGTTGGCCAACAGGTTTGCACACATCTCAGGAGGGATTTTGTTCCACTCCTCTTTGCAGATCTTCTCCAAGTCATTAAGGTTTCGAGGCTGACGTTTTGATTGTTTGGTGTTCTTGGGGTCATAGGCAGCATTCTTCCTCCTCCAAACACGGCGAGTTGAGTTGATGCCAAAGAGCTCGATTTTGGTCTCATCTGACCACAACACTTTCACCCAGTTCTCCTCTGAATCATTCAGATGGTGCTTTCTTGAGCAGGGGGACCTTGCGGGCGCTGCAGGATTTCAGTCCTTCACGGCGTAGTGTGTTACCAATTGTTTTCTTGGTGACTATGGTCCCAGCTGCCTTTAAATCATTGACAAGATCCTCCCGTGTAGTTCAGGGCTGATTCCTCACCTTTCTCATGATCATTGCAACTCCACGAGTTGAGATCTTGCATGGAGCCCCAGGCTGAGGGAGATTGACAGTTATTTTGTGTTTCTTCCATTTGCGAATAATCGCACCAACTGTTGTCACCTTCTCACTAAGCTGCTTGGCGATGGTCTTGTAGCCCATTCCATCCTTGTGTAGGTCTACAATCTTGTCCCTGACATCCTTGGAGAGCTCTTTGGTCTTGGCCATGGTGGAGAGTTTGGAATCTGATTGATTGATTGCTTCTGTGGACAGGTGTCTTTTATACAGGTAACAAGCTGAGATTAGGAGCACTCCCTTTAAGAGTGTGCTCCTAATCTCAGCTCGTTACCTGTATAAAAGACACATGGGAGCCAGAAATCTTTCTGATTGAGAGGGGGTCAAATACTTATTTCCCTAATTCAAATGCAAATCAATTTATAACATTTTTTACATGTGTTTTTCTGGATATTTTTGTTGTTATTCTGTCTCTCACTGTTCAAATAAACCTACCATTAAAATTATAGACTGATCATTTCTTTGTCAGTGGGCAAACGTACAAAATCAGCAGGGGATCAAATACTTTTTTCCCTCACTGTATAACAAAGTATTGAGAAACTTTTGTTATTGACCAAATACTTATTTTCCACCATAATGTGCAAATAAATTCATAAAAAATCCTACAATGTGATTTTCTGGAAAAAGAATACTCATTTTGTCTGTCATAATTGACGTGTACCTATGATGAAAATTACAGTCCTCTCTCATCTTTTTAAGTGGGAGAACTTGCACAATTGGTGGCTGACTAAATACTTTTTTTCCCCACTGTATATGGAGAATATACCACGGCTAAGGATATTGCCTGGATACAGCCCTTAGCCGTGGGATATTGGCCTTATATCACAAACTGTGAGGTGCCTTATTGCTATTATAAACTGGTTACCAACGTAATTAGAGCAGTAAAAATAAATGTTTTGTCATACCCATGGTATACGGTCTGATATACCACGGCTGTCAGCCAATCAGCATCTTTATATCCCCCATGTGGGTATATGCTCCTAAAAACCAATGAGGAGATGGGAGAGGCAGGACTTGCAGCGCGACAAGCGTAAAAAATAGAACCAAGTTCTATTTTAGTACCTGGCTATGCAGACGCTCGCAAGCAGTTTGGATGAAATGATTGAATAACATGTATGTGTACATTTATTTTGCAATGCTCACGCACCTAATGTGAGTGGTGTGGTCAGCATGTTAGTCTAATACAGTGACAACTTAAAGATACCAAAAACAATTTAGTCCAATCAACATAAGCTAAATATAATGTGGCTGTCCATGGTTCTGATTTCTGTTTGCGCATGTGAGTGTGCGTGCGTTCGTGCAAGTAGAAAAACACGTTGACTCACCCTACTTGTAGAGAAACGCCAATGCCATCCTCCTCTCATGTTGACGAAACGTTCTATCACTCTGTCTTACAGTACACACTTTAATTTTTTGTTGTCCTAGGCTACCTGGCTAAAATGCTTGCTCGCTAGCCTAACTTCCATTCATGGGCAACGTTAGCTAGTTAACATTATTAGCCTTCTACATCTAGCTACATATTGAACTTCCATCCTCTCAGGCCAGGGGCACAACAATGTATGAATTAATGACAACGCCAAGGTTGTGGGTTCGATTCACACGGACATAATAAGCCAGTAGGTCCCAATCATAAGAATACAACCGTTAGGCTAAGCATTTCCTAATTGAAATGTACAACTATTACTTCCCATTGCAAAAAACATTTCATGTTTAGCACACAAAGTAACCGGTGACCTAAAGTTGAAATGCAACAACTACTGCTCGCTATCGCGCAGTGACCTGTTGGCCTTAAGGTTGGCATAAGTTTCCATATGTTTTTTGAAAAAACGTCCCAACCATTATAAGTCAAAATGTGATTGGTTGATTCCACTGTCACTCCAAAATGTTGCCCTAATACAGTTGAATGGCAGATGCCTTCTATCTAGCTTCTGATGGCCTAGCCAATGGCTGACTTAGCTAGATAGATTTATCTCCCCAGAGACTACAAAAGAAAAATCCTGATTTAGATATTTTTTTCTCTTCTGTGTTAACCCTTTCCTTTCCAACAAAAACTAAAGAGATTAAATGAGAACATAATTGAAAAGAATAATGTAAATATTTTATAAATCCTTAGCCCTTCTCTGAAGGCGTAGAAGGCCCTCATTGTTCCCCACTGTGTTTGGGTTAGTAATACTTTTTAGAGTGGCTCTATTTTCCCTCAGCATACATTTTTTCACCATTCTGAATGTCTAAAGAATGTTCTTCTGAAATATGAACACAGAAATACTGGAGATTTTGAACTCTTATTATGGTGGCGATTTGACAAAATTACAATCATGGTCTTGAATTGGACTCATTTTTCTGGTCTCGGTCTTGACTCAGTCTCGGACCCGTTGTCCCCCTCCCGGTCTCGGTCTTGACTTGGTCTCGGACCCCTTGTCCCCCTCCCAGTCTCGGTCTTGACTCGGTCTCGTCCCCCCTCCGGTGTTGGTCTTGACTCGATTTGCTCTGGTCTTGGTCTTGAATCGATACCGCTTTTGGTGGTCTTACCTTATTTAGTCATGTAACGCGCTCTGTAGGTGTGGCTACCTTGCGCACTCTGAATACATTTCATTCAACCACTGAAAACCCTCCCACTTGCTGGCCAACAGATTTTCTGGTGGAGTTTTCATTAAATGGGGTTTTCGGTACATTTATCTTGAGCCATCCCTTTAAATACAGTGCACCTTTCTTTAGAATTGGCCACCCTCCCCCTCCCAATTTTGTCGACAGACTCAATAGAATCGAGAGAATGGGTTCAGAATATAGGGATCAATGAAAGAAAGCCATCTAAATATATGCATATTCGTCTCAGTTTCAACACCAAATGGTAGATTTAAAAATACTCTGATCTTGTAGATTATTTAGGGTTAGAAAAGTATTTATGAATCATAAAAAAACAGGTTTGGCAAGCCTTTACGCATGAAAGAAAATGGTGGTTTGATTAATTCTGAAAATTGCAACATTCTGTTCTTTAACCCATGGTAATGTTGGAAGATTAGTGTACAGTCGTGGTCAAAAGTTTGAGAATGACACAAATATAAATTGTGACAAAGTCTGCTGCCTCAGTTTTTATGATGGCAATTTGCATATACTCCAGAATGTTATGAAGAGTGATCAGATGAATTGCAATTAATTGCAAAATCCCTCTTTGCCATGAAAATGAACTTTATCCCCCAAAAACATTTCCACTGCATTTCAGCCCTGCCACAAAAGGACCAGCTGACATCATGTCAGTGATTCTCTCGTTAACATAGGTGAGCGTGTTGATGAGGACAAGGCTGGAGATCACTCTGTCATGCTGATTGAGTTAGAATAACAGACTGGAAGCTTTAAAAGGAGGGTGGTGCTTGAAATCATTGTTCTTCCTCTGTTAACAATGGTTACCTGCAAGGAAACACGTGCCGTCATCATTGCTTTGAACAAAAAAGGCTTCACAGGCAAGGATATTGCTGCTAGTAAGATTGCACCTAAATCAACCATTAATCGGATCATCAAGAACTTCAAGGAGAGAGGTTCAATTGTTGTGAAGAAGGCTTCAGGGCACCCAAGAATGTCCAGCAAGCGCCAGGACCGTCTCCTAAAGTTGATTCAGCTGCGGGATCGGGGCACCACCAGTGCAGAGCTTGCTCAGGAATGGCAGCAGGCAGGTGTGAGTGCATCTGCATGCACAGTGAGGCGAATACTTTTGGAGGATGGCCTGGTGTCAAGAAGGGCAGCGAGGAAGCCACTTCTCTCCAGGAAAAACATCAGGGACAGACTGATATTGTGCAAAAGGTACAGGGATTGGACTGCTGAGGACTGGGGTAAAGTCATTTCTCTGATGAATCCCCTTTCCGATTGTTTGGGGCATCCGGAAAAAAGCTTGTCCGGAGAAGACAAGTTGAGCGCTACCATCAGTCTTGTGTCATGCCAACAGTAAAGCATCCTGAGACCATTCATGTGGGAGTGGGCTCACTCACGATTTTGCCTAAGAACACAGCCATGAATAAAGAATGGTACCAACACATCCTCCGAGAGCAACTTCTCCCAACCATCCAAGAACAGTTTGGTGACGAACAATGTCTTTTCCAGCATGTTGGAGCACCTTGCCATAAGGCAAAAGTGATAACTAAGTGGCTCTGGGAACAAAACATTGACATTTTGGGTCCATGGCCAGGAAACTCCTCAGACCTTAATCCCATTGAGAACTTGTGGTCAATCCCCAAGAGGTGGGTGGACAAACAAAACCCCACAAATTCTGACAAACTCCAAGCTTTGATTATGCAAGAATTGGCTGCCATCAGTCAGGATGTGGCCCAGAAGTTAATTGACAGCATGCCAGGGCGGATTGCAGAGGTCTTGAAAAAGAAGGGTCAACACTGCAAATATTGACTCTTTGCATAAACGTAATGTAATTGTCAATAAAAGCCTTTTACACTTATGGAATGTTTGTAATTATACTTCAGTATAACATAGTAACATCTGACAAAAATATCTAAAAACACTGAAGCAGCAAACTTTGTGAAGACCAATACTTGTGTCATTCTCAAAACTTTTGACCACGACTGTACATATAATTATAATAGGGAGAATAGTGTACAATAGTAGGCTCTACCCTTGTCTTTTTCCTGCACTAACTATGGAACTGTGTGATGACACAGCCAAGTATTGCGCCATTATATGCAATATATATACAAAAGTATATGGACACCCCTTCAAATTAGTGGATTCTGCTATTTCAGCCACACCCGTTGCTGACAGGTGTATAAAATCGAGCACACAACCATGCAATCTCCATAGACAAACATTGGCAGTAGAATGGCCTTACTGATGAGCTCAGTGACTTTCAACGCGGCACCATCATAGGATGCCACCTTTCCAACAAGTAACATTTCTGCCCTGCTAGCGCTGCCCCGGTTAACTGTCGGTGTTGTTATTGTGAAGTGGAAACGTCTAGGAGCTACAACGGCCACACAAGCTCACAGAACAGGACCGCCGAGTGCTGAAGCGTGTAGCGCATAAAAATGGTCTATTCTCAGTTGCAACACTCACTACCGAGTTCCAAACTGCCACTGGAAGCAATATCCGCACAATAACTGTTTGTCGGGAGCTAAATGAAATGGGTTTCCATGGCCGAGCAGCCGCACACAAGCCTAAGATCACCATTCGCAATGCCAAGCATCGGCTGGTGTAAAGCTCGCTGCTATTGGACTCTGGAGCAGTGGAAACGCGTTCTCTGGAGTGATAGCAGTCCGACGGACAAGTCGGGGTTTGAAGGATGCCAGGAGAACACTACCTGGAATAATGGTCTGGGGCTGTTTTTCATGGTTCGGGCTAGGCTCCTTAGTTCCAGTGAGGGGAAATCTTAACGCTACAGCATACAGTGACATTCTAGACAATTCTGTGCTTCCAACTTTGTGGCATCAGTTTGAGGAAGGCCCTTTCCTGTTTCAGCATGACATTGCCCCAATGCACAAAGCGAGGTCAATAGAGAAAGGGTTTGTCGAGATCGGTGTTGACGAACTTGTATGGCCTGCACAGAGCCCTGACCTCAACCCCATCTAACACCTTTGAGATGAATTGGAATGCCGACTGCGAGCCAGGCCTAATCGCATCGTGCAACATTGCCCGACCTCACTACTGCTCTTGTGGCTGAATGGAAGCAAGTCCCCGCAGCAATGTTCCAACATCTAGTGGAAAGCCTTCCCATAAGAGTGGTGGCGGTTATAGCAGCGAAGGGGGGACCAACTCCATATTAATGCCCATGATTTTGGAATGAGATGTTTGAAGAGCAGGTGTCCACATACCTTTGGTCATGTGGTGTATTATCAACTGTTACTAATGATCCTCATTAACCACATGGCCGTGACAGCGTTTACAGAGGAAGCAAATGAAGGTAAACGAAACAATGTAATTAAATGGAATGGTAATGTAGGCTGTACCAACTGAAGAGAACTAACAGTACCGTATTTTCCGCACTATAAGGCGCACTTAAAAGCCTTTAATTTTCTCAAAAAACGACAGTGTGCCTTATAATCCGGAGCGCCTTATATATGGATCAATTGGTTAATTGGTTGATCCATACTGGTTGTACACGGCGCTCAAGGCGCTCTGTCAAAATGTTTCAGTATGAAAAACCAATAAAAACAATTTAATAATAATGAAATGTTTCAGTACGACTAGTAAACTACAAAGCAGCACCGCTTGCAGCATTACGGCTACCGTAGTCAGTAAACACCGGTACTGTGCTTACTCACAGTCCCACACCACTTGTGTGTGTATAAAGACCCCAAAATTGTTGTCAGAATGCTTAATAAAGTTTGACTTTATCTGACTGTTTTGTTGACATTCCCTTTAGCACAGCTCCAGCTAGTGGATGCATAACGCAACCCCAGTCAAACGTTTGACTGCAGTATCTTCTATTCTATGCGCCTTATAATCCGGTGCGCCCTATATATGAAAACAGTTCTAAAATAGGCCATTCATTGAAGGTGTGCCTTATAATCCGGTGCGCCTTATAGTGCGGAAAATACGGTATATTGGCAGTTGAATATGTGTTGTTATTATGCCTAGTGACGGTCAATACTGAGTGGCTAAACATGATAGAAATAGGAAACAGAGAAAGTTGGGGTAGCCTATAATTAAGACATTCGAGAGTGCCCATCCCTGCAAGTTAAAAAGCTGTACAATACAAATTCTTCATAATGATAGGCTTCAGTTTGCTGCCATATGACTGGTTCCACATTTGTCTCCAGCGATTATACAATTCCCTTCTCCAAACGGATTACTAATTTACCTAGCTCTTATCAATAGCTCTTATCAATACAGTGCATGGAGAATGGTGTTATTTCTATATGGAAAAATAAAATAGATGCTTTTTCCACTTGGAACCAGTTGGTTCACTAGGCCTTATTCTTGGTTTCCTCACGCGTAAAGGTGGTGGCATTATTAGGGAATTAAGTCAAGGTCAGAATACTGTGTATCTGTAGACATCTCCACCCCAAACAAATAGTGGCTGGATATTATGCTATTCTCATGCTTAAGCACAAGGTCAGAATACGCATAGAGAGAAAGGGAATTACGTTCCATTTACGCATTCTTAACTCGGGTCGGAATCGGGCCCCAAGAGCATAGGGAAATCTGATTAACAGTTCTACCATAGGCAACACAGGTTCTTTGAGAATGGAGGGAGGAACACAATCAAATAATAATTAAATCAAACAAAAACAGGTTTCAGTGCAGGGAAAGCATTTCAACTTTAATCCTATCCTTAATTTAAATCATAATCTCATCTAAGTAATACTTATTTTAGCAAAGCCAAGGCTTCAAAGGAGCTCTGCCACAGCCTCCAAACAAACGTAACTTCCCTCTCACCTGCGCCTTCCCCTGGGCGGCCGCACCTCAAACAAATGTTATAAAGGGGCAGGGAAAAACGGGGCGCTAATCACATTACTCAATGAATCAAGCAGTAGCACATGGACAGAAGTATGCACAGTAATTAAGGGCATTTGTCACACTTGTGACAATATCTGAACATATAGGACCAGTCTCCCTGACACCGATTAAACCCAGTCCTGGACTAAGAAGCACTCTCAATGAAGAATCTCCTTTTAAGCATATTTTTTGTGAATGACTTAATTTAATTTGTGCCCACAAAACCAGCCCATAATGTATTCAAAAGGGCAATCAGCCTTCCCTTATATTTCCTCACCCTCCCTACTATCTCTCCATCTCCAGGCAACGTGTGGATCTACTCTATATTTCCTGCCAACTATAACGAAGCAGATGCTCTCCACTGCAACAGAACCCTGTATCTGTTTGCCTTCTGGACCACCACCCTGGTGTACATCTTCCTGGGCATGCTCCTGGTGGGGGGCTGCTGTGTGCTTGTCTGCATGTGTCTGTGTGGTGGAAGGGGGCTAGGCTCGAACAGTGCCGACGTCTGAGGGGGAGGCGAGGGGTGCATATCTGGGTTCAAATAGTATTTGTTTCCTTGCAAATGCTTTAGCTATGCTTAATTGAGCTTGCCTGACACAATGGAACCGATGGAATAGTCCCAAAAGTACAAACCCTACCCATCTGGCAAAATCAAACACTGAAAAGTATTTGAAGAAGAAAAACTATTTGAACCCAGGTCTGTTTGGTGGGGAGGGCATAGGGATCAGGTTCTGTTCAGGAGGGCGTAGTGTTTCAGAACGTTCAGATATATTTTGTAGAACAGAGAGTTGGATTGTCTGTCATGTTTCCATCTGCAATGTTTTGAACATTAAATGTCATCGAATACACCTCTGTGGGAGGAGTCCTGGCGCTCAAGGATTGTTCAACACACACTGCACATTGCACTAGCATTGTGAAAAAGTATTATCCGTACTGCCATGCCTTCTAGCCTTTTGTACTCACGACCTGTCTGTGTGTGTCAAAGAATCTGCTTCATATTACCGAATGTACATTGTTAAATACTAATGTCTCTGTAATCTCTTTCTAGTCTATTCTTTCTGTATATTCCAGCATAAATATATTTAATCCACATGTAATAGTGCCTCCACATGACTGAATATGACTGTATAGATTAGAATTTCACCCCGTAGGCATAATGCACTGAGAATAAAGTGACTGATTGTTATCTTTCTCAGTGTGCTAAAATAACATATGTGTCTGGATGTGCCTCTGCCTTTTCATTCTGAGGAAAAGTAGTCTATTTGAAAGAAAAAAGGTTTGAGATGCAGAGAATGTTCCAGAAGGTTGCCAATGTTCACTCAAGATCAGCAGGGATGGTTTTCTTAATGTTCCTTGAACGTTTCTCATAACGATGCATGAAATAAACAAAATATATTTAACATTTTATTTAGGAGATGTGTATAAACACACACTCCAAGGATTACACATTTATCATTTTAGTTATCAATTCATTTTATAAAATGGGTTTGGAAAAATCTGCAATCTGATTGACACACACACACACAGGCTTGCACAATTAAATATTAACAGTTCTTATATTTATTCTTGGTAATACCAATTACCCCACTGAAGACTCGGTCATAACTGACTTTATATGGGCAAATAAAACGAATAGAATAAAAATGATTTTTTAAAGTCTTCCAAGACTTATAAATAACTAGTATTGGCACAAGATGGAGGGAATGTTGGAACAGCACTAGCAAAATGACACTTAATCCAGTGTAGACTAATGTATAGAATTGATTATACAAGATTTTAAAAAATCACAAATTCTACAGCACAACGGTAGTGTCATGTCTTAAGTGTAAAACTAACAATGACTCAATCATTGCTTTTGTGAATGCTATAAAGTCCAAAAGTTATGGGCGGAGTTAAAAAGTTGTTTGTCAGAAGTATTACAATGTACATGTACTTTTAATCCATCTGTCTGCATATTTCAAGACATGTCATATGAGGGAGCAGTGAGATACCAGACGGGTTGGACGATGCTTTTCTCATCAATCATCTTGAAAAAATGCACTTAAAAACTAGAAATCAACCAATCCTCCATCGCTAACACAATGGAAAGGACAAATACTTTATTATCTAAATGTTGAAAGTGCGTGGGCGACAGAGAAAAACAAAAGGGTGCATTTTGAGGCCATGTGGCGGAGAGTGATGCGGGCGCTGGAGAAGGATGGGGGTGTGAGCAGGTGGGATGTCATTGATGTTTGTGTGTGTCTGTGTGCTGTCGTTTGTATGTGCATGTTTTGTATTGTTTGAATAAAATACATCTTAAAAATATAAACAGTTAACACATTTATAATTTTAGTTAACAATTCAGAAATCTGCAATCTGATTGGCACACACACACACAGGATTACACAATTGTCTGAACACCGTCTATGGTACAGGGGAGTCAAGGGCTCACTCTGCAACCCTCTGCAACCTGTAAAACAAACAGTTCTTAATTAGTTAAATACTATTATCAGGGCTTAAGGATATTGTGTCCTTCCCAAAAGTTTAGCATTGGGCATTGGTAGTTCATTGGTATTTAACTTATGTTAATTATTTATTTATTTATTTAACACAGAAAATGTTCAGTGATTTTTTAACCAGGAAAATCAGAAATCATAAGCATTTGCTGGGTTTTAAATCCAAACCAGAATGGAAAAATAAAACGACTCAATGCAATGCTTTAATGAGGGGTGCCATTGGTGCATACTTATGGAGGTTGGTCAGGACCTAAAGTGGGCCCTGGGTATGTGAGAGGTGGGTCGCAAGTTAATACATTTATAATAACATATAATACTATTTCTTCTTAATTTGGGACGTTGGAGGACAGTTAATTCCTAATTTGGATCTCGAGCTGAACCCCCGAGGAAGAGAATTAGGACATAACACAAATCATGTCACATACACACAAAGGTGATGAGAGAGAGAATGCTGTATTGGTCAGAAAGCAGACTGGGAGCAGAACCTCAGCAGAACCCTGACCGGGAAAAGTAGGCAGCTTAAACTGGGACATCAAATATCTAGCAATACCCTAAGTTGAATGCACCAATTTGTAAGTCGCTCTGGATAAGAGCGTCAGCTAAATGACTTAAATGTAAATGTACTAGTGCCCTCTATGTTTAAAAGCAGTGAGGAGAGGAGCGACATGAGGGGCGACATGAAAGCTGCCACTGAAATCTCATTGCTCAATGGCTAACGCTGAAACAAAACCTAAACTCTCATTCCATGTCACACACTCAGAATGTGCAGCCTAAGGATCGGATGTAAACACAGGAGGACCAAGGACAATATTCATCCTTCTCCAGACCCCCTGACTCTCTTAGGCCTCCGACCCATGTCTCAATCAGACCCCCAGAAATGTTTGGGCTCAACCATGAATCTGTCAGAGCCCTTGATTCCACCAGTAGACTCAGGCCTCTTTTAGACCCCATAAGTCAAACTCTCCTATTCTAACTGAAAATACACCCCATGTACCTAGTTTGATCTGTGAAGATGGTCACTCAGTGGAGCAGTGTACAACAGAAAGGAAATGCACAAGGAGAAGATCACCTTTCTACAGGAAGAGGGATCCATTCTGGCTGCTCATAGGATCCTTGCTGCCTGCCTCTCAACCAAACCAATAGCCAGTAGCCCTTGCTAACCATCAAACATCTGGTCATGTTGGGGCCAGGAAGCAAGTGTAAGAACTGGACACGCACTGAGGAAGGTGCAAGTTGAAACATATCCGTGTAGTGTATTAAGACATATTGATACTATGAATTTAAGAAAATAAACACAAAGCTTTAACTGCAAATCATATCAAGTGAGTGTTGATCCTTTCAATATGTTTATCTGAACAAGTTAAAAGGCACATCTCGTTTGATGCATGGAGGAGACATGAAGGAGATGGAGAGATGCATCAAAAACAGGCTATCAGTAACCCACGTATCAAGTGGCTAATTAGAACCCTACGACTGATGTTGCAACTGTGTTCAATGTACATCTACGCCAGCCCAGTACAGCTTAGCTTGGCTCAGTTTTTGTTCTGTAGTGTGAAAACGAACCTGTTTCTTCCCTCCCTTTTGGTGTGGAAATATTTTCAGTATGGCTCCAACGACCTCCTCCACGTATTCCTCACTTTTTTAAAGTTAAGTTGGCACGCTCCTATAGTAACAACATACATAAGGGGAGTTATGGAGACAGGGTTGTAGGAATAAATAAGAGAAATGCAACAGAAAAAGATAATCTGTCTATGAACAGGCCCATCCCTCAGCTTTATACCAAAATGGAGGCGGGGAGCTTTTTTATGGTTTCTATTAAGGATTCTAGCACGGCAAGCGGTACCGGAGCACCAAGTCTAGGTCAAAAGGCTTCTTAACAGCTTCTACCCCCAGGCCATAAGACTCCTGAACAGCTAATCATTGCTACCCAGACTATTTGCATTGTCCTCCCCACCCCACCCCCTGTTTTACGCTGCTGCTACTCTCTGTTTATTATCTATGCATAGTCACTTTAACCTCTCAAGGATCTGACCTTTTCAATTTTCACCTAAAATGACTTACCCAAATCTGTAGCTCAGGACCTGAAGCAAAGATATGCAAATTCTTGATACCATTTGAAAGGGAACACTTTGAAGTATGTGGAAATGTTAAATAAATGTAGGAGAATATAACACATTAGATCTGGTAAAAGATAAGGACCAAGGACATGCGTTTTCTATTATTTTTTTTGTTCCATCATCTTTGAAATGCAAGAGAAAGGCCACAATATAATATTGCAGTTTAGGCGCAATTTAGATTTTGGCCACTAGATGGCAGCAGTGTGTGTGCAAAGTTTCAGATTGATCCAGTGAGGCATTGCAATACTGGACTATTTTGTATCAGGTCTGGCCAAATGTGCCGAATTGGTCAATTGATACATTTTCAGGTACATAACAATAGAGAACATACAAAAATGATATGGTAATACAAAATGTAAGTTTACACACTCCCAGGAATGTCACACATGATGGATCATTAGCTTATACACTAACTTTCACACATCTAGATGGCCGGGCGGGGTGGGTGTGGAACCAGAGACAGCAGTGGTTCAAACTGTAGAACCCAGTTCCTACATTTGAATATAACAATTTATTTTATCTAACAAAACTATGCTACATTTAATCTCCGGGACCCTTAGGATGACAAATTGGAGCAAGATTATTGAATGTAAGTACATGATTTACCTTCAGAGGTGAATGTATCAAACCAGTTGCCGTGATAAGTTTTTTGTTGTTGTGCACTCTCCTCAAACAATAGCATGGTATTTTCTCACTGTAATAGCTACTGTAAATTGGACAGTGCAGTTAGATTAACAAGAATTTAAGCTTTCTGCCCATATAAGACATGTCTATGTCCTGGAAAGTTTGCTGTTACTTACAACAGTCATGCTAATCACATTAGCGCACGTTAGCTCAACCGTCCCGTATACGGGATACCGATCCCGTAGAGGTTAACTCTACCCACATGTACATATTACCTCGACTAACCTGTGCCCCTGCACATTGACTCTGTACCAGTACCCCCTGTATATAGCCTAGCCTCCCTATTGTTATTTTATTTTACTGCTATTTATTTTACTGCTATTTTTAAAAATGTTTACTTATCTATATATATTTTTTTACTTACCACTTATTTTTGTTAAAACTGCCTTGTTGGTTAAGGTCTTGTAAGTAAGCATTTCACTGTAAGGTCTACAGCTGTTGTATTCGGCAAATTACATTTGATTTGATTTGATTCACTTTAATCTCACAATGAACATTATATTTTTCCTCAATTTGTATGCTTCAGTGTTTATTTACTGTCACAGAGGGCAGGTCCTCCTCCTCTGGGTGGAGAGACTGCAGGACGAGTGGAGAAACTGGGACTGTTGCGGTACGGTTGGGTGGAGAGATGTCTGTTAACAGATGTCTAATGTACTGTATGTCACGCTTCCTTTGAAAGCTGACGCCACAAAATACGGTTTATAAATATAGGAAGTTACTGTAAGCCATTTACCTCTGCTGTCTTGCGGTACGGTTGGGTGGAGAGACGTCTGAGACTAAATTAATCACGTTAACATTAACAGATGTCTAATGTATGTCAGACTTCATTTGAAAGTTCAGGCTCTAAAGTATGACACTACAAAATAAGGTCCAAAAAAAGGTCCAAATGTGAATTCTTCAATGCTATCAAGTTACTGTAAGACATTTACCTTAGCGGTTGAGTAGGTGTTCACAAGTGGTGGTGTCCCACAATTGCTTCATCTGTAAAAAAAGGAAAAACGGTAGCCAAGAGATTAGATAAGCGGACTAATAGCTGTAGGAGCAATCAATTTTCGTGAACAGGGTGGTGTACCTAATAAACTGTCCGGTGAGTTTCTATTGTAGTAGTAAAGTCAACAGAAAGTGATGTTAAAAGAATCCGTTTCTATAGAAGAGTTCAAAACATGTCGTTTTTTGTTTTTTTTGGGGGGTGGAATAAATGATGTGCACTCACCTCCACACACTTTATCTCCTCTTTCAGCGTTTTAACTATCCAATATGGCCATTAGATATGCAATGTTCCCAGAACGTTTTTTTCCCCAACAACCAATCAGGAACCACAGGGGAACGTTACGTAAAAGTTCTAATTCACCAAAAAAGAACGTTCTTTTATGAGGTTTTTTGAACGTTTTCAGAACAATGTGTTTCTCCCTTTCCAAAATAGCAACGTTCCCTAAAGGTTCTCCTTTTGGCTCTTAAAAAAAATACTTTCCCACAATGTTCCCAGAACGTTCTGTCAAAGTTATTTTTCTAAGAACCAAAGGAGAACCTTTAGGGAACGTTACAGGAACGTTCTGTGCCAGCTGGGAATAACCATCACATTGAATTCAATTTGGAGTCACGCAATGACATGTTGTGTGGTCCTCCCACTATGACTCAGGAAAGCATGCAGTTTATTAGGCTACAGATGAAATAAATGATGAACTTCACAGGGTGGTGAAAGGCTTGATGCGCCTTTCCAATAAATATTGAGGGTCTTATGCTGGTGACATAATGATCGATGCTTGGCTGCCGTTTGATAAATACAAATAATTTTGTCCATAATAATCTCATCATGTAGTCTATACCCGTACTGTATTATGCCAGCTGTTGGCTAGAGCGAACGTGCCAATACCAGAGTGGGCACACACGCTATATAAGTCCATTTTCTCTGTAACAAAACCATCAGTAGAGTTGAAAATGCAATGGAAACCCATTTAACTTGTATTTTTTATTCGGTACACAGGAATTTAACAGAAAAAGTTATTTTTATGTGCACTACATTATTTGATGGAAACACATCTCTGGTGAAGAAATGTGCTGTTTTTATACTGATTTAAAAATATTTGTATGAAAATCTGTCACCAATTGGATGGAAACCTAGTTACAGACACAAGTTTAGTTAGCTCAATGGGGTGAAAGTAAATAAATACCTAGTATGCTCTTGTCCCTGTCTAGGTGTCTTCATGTTTGTCATATGAGGATGCTAAATTACTACCAGAGGGAAACTACTGAGTAGAGGGAGTCCAGTTCACACCAAGCCAAAATAATACTCAGGGGTAAACACAATGATCCTGTTGGTGGTGATACAAGGGGTGCTCTGTGGCATGTGGGGCTTTTGATTCACACCCTTAGCTGGCCAACGCACACATAAAATGTAGTTCTGGGCTCCAAGCTTAGTTTGGCAGTGGTCCATTCTTCAACACTGGTGGGCACTGCAGGAGCTAGTGAGTCTCTGCTATGCCCAATACATTATCAGTTGGCAGAGATAGAGTCAAAGTCAAATATCAAATGGTTGACTGTGTGCCGTCATTGGTGATGGTGGGGGTGCAGCATGTCCTCTCATTCCCCCTCATCGCTCTGAGAAGACACAGAGTAGCCACACCCCCCCTCCTCCTCCTCCAGCGACCTGTCTTCACAAACAGACAAACAGGACCGTTAGCAACACCAAGTGCACTTTGTTGAAGCCTCTGTAGAACTCAAAGGGACACATTCATTCTCAAAGACATGCAAATATATTTTAAAGTTGACTTTGACACAAACATCATCAATTTCAAACACCAGTAACCTACAGAATAGTAATGACAAAATCATCTCAAAACACTTTCACCTGTCCTTAGATCTCCTGATAGAGCGGAGGAGGTATTAGGATGAAGACTCGTGTTGACTGACAGTCGATCCACCTCCGATGATCCCGCCCCTTCCTCCATGTGAGTGGTCTCGGTACCCTGCCAATCACTGAGAGCCGTTTGAAAGCTCCTTGCCAGACAGGCGGTGATGTCCTTAGCTCTCTCAGCACTGGTGCACCAGAATACCCTGCACTGTAACTGCAGCTGCTGGCCTTGCTGCTTACAGATGTACAGGAACACATTGGGGTGCTTGGTGTCAGCCGCGCAGAACGCTATGTCACTCAGATAGGTCTTAGTGAGCTGTCTCCCCGTGGCAATCTCCTTCACCTCTATGTAACGACGCCGCACCACCAGAGCGTGCTCCTTGCCCAGTTTCTCAGGGGCCTCCGGGGCCAGCTGCTGGAGCATCAGGTCTATGGCCCCCTGGGCCTGCTCCAAATCCAGGGAGTAGATTTTCTTGGTGCCCAGGTAGTGCACCTTGTAGATGGGGTCCCCGTGGGAGAGGGTGGCGATGCGGTCGGGCCGGAGGTGGAACCGGCGGCGGAACACAGCGGGAGACTTCCTCAGAGTCTGGATGAGCTGGAAGGAGGGGTTACTCTGAGACATGGCTAGAGGTCAGAGGTCAAAGGTCAGGACCAGGCTGCGTTCAGACTTCAGAACCCTTGGTTGCTGTTGTTTTCCTAGAAGCCTCTGTTATTAAACCCGGTAGAAAGTTATTCACTCACTGCACCTGGGGGTAAACAAATAAAGTTAGAATAAAGATGAATTAGTGTAGCGAAGAAAGTTGTAGTTCTTAGCAGCTTAAAGGGTCGGATTCCCGGACACATATCAAACAAAATCCTGGTCAAAAAAAAGCAATTTGAATGGAGATGCTTTTTAGGCTTTATCTAAACATAATCTGTGTCCGGGAATCTGGCCCAAAATGTTCTTCCATTGTTTTAACAGAATGAAGATATCTTCAGTACATCATGTACTTCCTCCCTCTCTTTTCTTAGCCCATTTGTTAGGCCTACTGCTGCTAGGTAGCTCTCTCTCTGCTCTCCCCCTCCCCTCTGTCTGTTCTTGATTGCAGGAGTGAAGTCTGGTGTGCGGGAGTCAGGGTTCCAGCTGTAGCTCATTCACCATAATCACCTCAGCCTTAAAGACCCGGTCAAACTTGCCACTCATCGTCAGATCATAGTCAAGACAACCATGTTAGTCTCGCTGCTGATTCAACCTGCTTGTTTTCGCTCTTTGTGTTTTTGGCCTATTCTATTTACATTTCTCCTGTGCCACAGATTATTGGAACCTGACTCCTGCCTCCGCTTCACTCCTGCCACCACCATCCCGTTTACCACTACTGGACTTCCCTTTTGGACTCACCCCGGACACTAGGACGTTACAGTACCACTCCTGCTCAGAACCTGGATATGTTACCCTCCCTGTAGACCTGGACTTGCTCTTCCCCCCTATTTTTGGAAACCTGGACAATTTTACTTTGTAATAACCTGTTAAACCTTCTCTGGCTTGGTGTAGTTGTCTGCATTTGGGTTCATATCCAGTTAAATCATGACACCATTCTTCTTTTATCAACCCTCTAATGATGGCTTTTAATGTAAGTTCCAGAGTTCAAACTGAGGAAACTACTATGGCACTCCACCTCCACCTGGCTGTATGTATGTTGTACATTTGATTATCTCAAACATGAATGTACAGTATATTTATACAGTTGCAGTATTTCCGCCATCTTTAAAGTCTATATATTTACATCAGCAAAACAATCATCAAAACAGATAATTGGAAAAATACTATATGGAAATAATGAAATAATACGATCAATCTTGGAAGTACAGTAGTTATTACAATACAATTATCAACTTCTAGGCTTTTAAAAATAAAACAATAACACCGCAATTAGAGGCTCAATATTGGGCAAGTAACAATTGCATTTTTAAGTATATTGTCTTTAAACTGTGGGCCTATATACAGCTATTTGCCTTAACTTCATGCGTCTTATAAAATTATATGATCATTTCCCCAAAACAGTAGAGTAATGGGCAGACAGTCCCATTTCACTAGCTCATTCTCTGCTCCTATGAGATTTCTCTGCATGGTTCTAATTCGAAAACAGCCCCCATGCTGCCGTCGTCACAAAATCCTTATCTGCACTTTCTGGTGGACTGCAGCAAAGGTGTTTATGTGTGATTGTAGAAGCCCAAATGAGCAAAACAAGATCAATATGTAAGGGGTAGAAATGTTACACAAGTTACTCATAATCTTTCATAAAATTATACAGATCTATTGGTTTATTGAAGCATTTCACTTACTTTGTGTCCACTCCTGTCGCTTACCCTACAATGGTTAAAAAAGTCCAAAGAAAAAGTAGCCTACTCTCGATGTATCCGAAAGTATGTCATAAAGTCCAATAGCTTTGCAATAATTCTTCACAGTAATGTTTTTGTTGCGAAAGGGCTCCATCAGTGTACCGTGAAGTCTCCTACAGCGGTAGATAAGTTATGTGAAGTGGCCACTTGATAGTGTGAGGGAGAAGGGAGAGAAGGGGAGAAGGGGGCGGGAGGTAAGGCAACCTCTGTGCAGTGCAAAAAAATAATCTGAAGGATTTACGTTTTTTTTTTTTGAGATGGGGAATAATATACACTGACCCTTGTTGGTATCAGTGTCCAGCTTTATAATTGACCCATAGTATCTGTATGTATGGAACTACTGTTTTCCCCAAAACAGCATAGGCTGTAATAATGTTTATAATTCGTTTTTATAATAGGTTCCCACTAAATGCACTTCTACAGCGCATTCGGAAAGTATTCAGACCCCTTGACTTTTTCCACATTTTTTACATTACACCCTTATTCTAACATGGATTAAATTGTTTTTCCCCCTCATCAATCTACACACAATACCCCATAATGACAAAGCAAAAACTGGTTTTAACTGAAATATCACATTTACTATCATTTACGGTCAGAGTGACCAACGGGTTCTTAGTCACCTCCCTGACCAAGGCTCTTCTCCCCCAATTACTCAGTTTGGCTGGGCGACCAGCTCTAGGAAGAGTTTTGGTGCTTCCAAACTAATTCCATTTAAGAATGATGGATGCCACTGTGTTCTTGGGGACCTTCAATGCTACAGATTTTTTTTGGAACCCTTCCACAGATGTGTGCCTCAACACAATCCTGTCTCGGAGCTCTACGGACTTTCAGAATGCTTATAGGGAAGGACATTCATCAAGCACTTACACAAATGACTGATGATTGGCTGAGAGAAATTGATGATAAAAATATTGTGGGGGCTGTTTTGTTAGACTTCATTGTGGCTTTTGACATTATCGATCATAGTCTGTTGCTGGAAAAACGTATGTGTTATGGCTTTACACCCCCTGCTATATTGTGGATAAAGAGTTAGCTGTCTAACAGAACACAGAGGGTGTTCTTTAATGGAAGCCTCTCCAACTAAATCCAGGTAGAATCAGGAAATCCCCATGGCAGCTGTCTAGGCCACTTGCCTTCAAGTAAAGCCAGTGTGTCTATGTATGCGGATGACTCAACACTATACACGTCAGCTACCACAGCGACTGAAATGACAGCAACACTTAACAAAGAGCTGCAGTTAGTTTCAGAATGGGTGGCAAGGAATAAGTTAGTCCTAAATATTTCAAAATCTAAAAGCACTGTATTTGGGACAAATCATTCACTAAACGCTTAACCTCAACTAAGGGCACACACTTAATATGTTATGAAATCTCTTATGAATTTATTGTAATGTTTTTAAAATGTATAGTTGCCTTAATTTTGCTGGACCCCTGGAAGAGTAGCTGCTGCCTTCCTTCGATTTTTGGTACCCTTCCCCAGATCTGTGCCTCGACACAATCCTGTCTCGGAGCTCTATGGACAATTCCTTCGACCTCATGGCTTGGTTTTTGCTCTGACATGCACTGTCAACTGTGGGACCTTATATAGACAGGTGTGTGCCTTTCCAAATCATGTCCAATCAATTGAATTTACCACAGGTGGACTCCAATCAAGTTGTAGAAGCATCTCAAGGATGATCAATGGAAACAGGATGTACCTGAGCTCAATTTCGAGTCTCATAGCAAATAGTCTTATGTAAATAAGGTATTTCTGTTTTTTATTTTTAATACATTTGCAAAAATGTCTAAAAACCTGTTTTCGCTTTGTCATTATGGTGTATTGCATGTAGATTGATGAGGAAAACATTTGATTTAATCCATTTTAGAATAAAAAAATGTCAAGGGGTCTGAATTCTTTCCGAATGCACTTTATAACCATATAATACGGAGTCAATGGTATTGGGCCCCGAACAAAGCCACTCACAGCATATGGATACTCTTTCAGTTCCCCTAAAGTTTGCTATTTGAAATGCACTGTTAAAGCTGATGCAATATGATTACAATAAAATGAAATGGAATGGTTTGTAACTCTAACATTCCTAACTGGCCCTCTCCAGGCCAGAGTCCACCCCAAAGCACCATGCCATGCCACTGACGTAGTTTTATGAGTCTAGACTAGACTGGAGCAGTTACTGTGTTACTGTGTACTCTTCTCATTGGACATTATCTCACCACCATATGACAGAGTGACATGCACCAGAAGACTGAGACTGGCCTGAGACCTCACATGGGCCAACAAACATTGGCAGAGGCTGCTTCCCAAATGGCTCCCTATTCCCTAGTGGACTACGTTTGACCAGAGCCCTATGGATCCTGGTCAAAAGTAGTGCACTATATTGGTAAAAGGGTACCATTTGGGACACAGACAGAGTTTAGGAGGGATTAATGTGTCACTGACTGTGTAGACTTGAGTTTAGGTTTGAAAAATATCCTTATATGTTGAATACCGCTGAGGGCTTTCTCTTGACCAAGAGCTTGCTCATGTGACATTGACGCATGGAGATTTTTGTGACAGAATAAATAATGTTACCATTTGAAAAAAGGTTTGACTAGGCCTACTGTAAATATTTGATCTGTGGGTTTGGGATACATTTTATGTTTCAGGCTCTAGTAAGCCTTTATCAGATTTGGCAACTGTTTAATTTATTTAATTCTATGATCATACCTATTAGGTTGCAAAATGCTTGAAGCCAGAATCCAGAAAATGATTGAAGCATGAGCTGGCTCCAGGATAACCAACATAAACGGTCCCCAAAAACTTTTTCATTTACATTTTACATTTTTTTGTGGGGAACTCAGTCGGGGTCTCAACTTACTGTTGAGAGTTAGAATAGTAGAATACACCAAGGTGTCAATAAAAAATTGGGTTGTGCATCAGCAGTTTTTCTCTCAATTAGCCACGTCAGCTAACAATTTTTTGATTGTAAGTTAGTCTAGCCAGTTATCTAAACTTGTAGTAACTATTACTATGTTATTATAGTAATCATGGCCGAATACCGACCGGCCACACATGGCACATGCCCAGGGGCCCTGACCTCCAGGGGGCCCCCATTGATTTTGTTAGTCACTCTCATTCATGGCAAAATGTGTAGAATTGCAGGAAATTAGCAATAAAACTGCAAAAGAATCTCTCAACCCCATGGCAAAATGTGTAGAACTGCAGAAAACTTGCGTTAAAACTGCAAAAATGTCTCTCTGCCACATGGCAAAATCAGTAGAATTGTGTGAAATTTGTTATAAAATTGCAACATAATGGCAAAATTGCAGGAAATTACATTTAAAACGTGAATTCTTCTCTCCACCATCAAGAGGGGGGCCACCCCAAATGACGTTTGGATGCTCCGTACTCCTGCTTCCTGTTTACACGTGACTCTCTCCGTTGAGAAATGGTCACCAGGATCAGAGATTACGCTATAGGACTGCTTTGTTAGCACAGATTGGAATATGTTTCAAGATTCCGCCGATAACATTGACGAGCTAACCACCTCCGTCACCGGCTTCATTAGGAAATACATTGGCGACGTTGTCCCCACAGTGAGGATTACCCCTATCATTCATGTTCCCAATAACTCTAAGGCTTCATGCCACAATGACTACCGCCTGAAGCGCTCACATCTGTAATCATGAAGTGCTGGTTATGGCACACATCAACTCCATCATCCTAGACACCCTAGACCCACTCCAATTTGCATACCGCCCCAACAGATCATAGACGACACAATCTCACACTGCCCTCACCCACCTAGATGAGAGGAATACCTATGTGAGAATGCAGCTCAGCGTTCAACATCATTGTCCCCTCCAAGCTCGTCACCAAGCTTAGGACCCTGGGACTAAATACTTCCCTCTGCAACTAGATCCTGGACTTCCTGAAGGGCTGACCTCAGGTGGCGAGGGAAGGCAACGTCACCTCCGCCACGCTGACACTCAACACGGGGGCCCCACAGGGCACGCCCCCATCCACATCGCCGGGGCTGCAGTGGAGCGGGTCGAGAGCTTCAAATTCCTTGGTCTCCAAATCACTAAGGACTTAAAATGGTCCACACACACACAGCCGTGAAGACGGCGCGACAGTGCCTCTTCTCTCTCAGGAGGTTTAAAAGATATGGTATGGGCCCTCAAATCCTCAAAATGTTCTACAGCTGTCCCGTGAATTAGGGCCTGGTCCGGGATGAGCAGTACATCCACACCTGCTGACTCGTTGAAGTAGAAATCTTCATCCAAATTGAGGTTAGTGATTGCTGTTCTGATGTCCTGAAGCTGTTTTTGATCATAGGAAATGATGGCGTAAATATTATGTAAAAACTATAGTTGAGATCAGCGTAAAAAAACACACACAATATAGCAGAATTGGTCAGGAGCCAATAAGACAGTAAGACAGTAGATATCCATGTCTGCAGCGCCATTCTAATTGAATAAATATATAAAGTAAGGAGACAGGATGAAAGACCTAATGGATGGAGGGATGAGTGCGAAGATTAACAAAGTTTTGGAATATGGATGAATGGACATATTTGGTCGAATGAGAGTTGTGAATGTGTCGTGTAAGTCAGTATGTCTTTCTGAAATCAAAACAAAATCGTTGCCAATCTTACTTCCGTGTTCTTGTCAAGGAATTTTAGAACATTCCTTGGTTCTAGTTGGTGGCTAGCACAGAATTGCACATCACCGCCACCAGCTGGGTGGGGGTTTACTACTGTGCAAGGCAGCTGACAGACTAAAGGTAAATGATTAAAAGTAAATGATTACTACATGTAGATAAACACAGGTAGGTTAGTTTAGTGGGTTGGAGTGAGCTGTGTGGCATAATAAGTCTTATGTGCTCCCCCGTTGTTATAATTTGAATGTTCTGAAAAGTTCCATGGCATTCAACTGGGACCGAGAGAATGAAGAACAGCTTCTATCTCAAGGCCATCAGACTGTTAAATAGCCATCACTAGCACATTAGAGGCTGCTGCTGCCTATTGAAATCACTGGCCACTTTAAGAAATGGAACACTAGTCACTTTAATAATGTTTACACATCTTGCACTACTCATCTCATATGTATATACTGCATTCTATTCTATAATATTCTTCTGTATCTTAGTCCATGCCGCTCTGTCATTGCTAGTCCAT